TTGTTACATCCATTGCTGTTCCGTGCCGAGCTGCGTACAAACATGATGTTCATGGACCCTGTGGGGTCCGACACCGAGACGGCGGAGATCAAGCTCCTCGGACATGCGGCGGTATGGATCTCCAAATCTGGTCGGTTTCTGCATACATGAATGACGAAGTCGAGCTCACTTGATAAGGTCAGCTTATGAGTTGAGGTTTGGGCTTTGCGAAGACAGGGTTGGAAAAATAACGGGTCAAAAGCATGGGAAGATTTGGTCTGGAGGGTTTGGAGATGGCTGATGCAAGTTGATGTAAGATGATGTAAGGGTTTCTTGACCAAAAGTGCAAATGCTGTGCTTTCAACTTCTATGCGCTTGATCAAGCTCAGTAGTCCACGTGTGGCCTTCGGCCCTGTGGTGTCCAAGATCACGCTAGCCAAGCTATCCAAGATGATCCAAGCTTCTCCACGAGGACCACGACAACCAAAAAGAAATCCAGCAAATTCCAGCACCAGTCCTCACAAAACATCCATGCAGCGTACGAAACAAGGAAGCCAACCTGCTAGTCCATCGCCATCGTTGTTGCTTCATGATGCTTCGTGTTCTTTTCCAAGTCGGTGAGGCTTCAAGGTTCCTACTCGCTTGCGTTTCCCACGCGGGTCGAATCCAGTGGTTTCGCCCATTTCGGCCCGCGGGTCCTCGTTCCAGAAGAAGTAGCAGCGATGAACCACCAACTTTGCCGCCAGCTCGAGGCCTTTGATCATCGAATCCCAAGACTGCTCAATTCGAAGACATCCTACACCACCGGAGATGGAGCCCTGGTTGGAGAAAACACTTTCAGAATGCGAAGATGAAGATTGCCCTTGAAAGAAACGCTCCAGCGGATTAGAGACACAAAACCCTGGAGGTCAACATCCACCTCAAACATTGGTCCGCGGATGTCCAACTGTCCTTTGCAAATTCCAAGTTATATAGTTTTTCAGGGTGCACTGGTGCTTCGCAGGGATCTCGCTTGGGCCCAGTGGGCAACCCCATGACATTGCACCCACACTCAGAATTGTCTGTTGTCATTTCCACATGTTCCTTGCGTGGGATGGGCACACCCTACTCACTCCTGTTTCAGCCCCCAAGAGTTCTACCAAGTGGCAATAGAAAATCGAAAAGGCCACCTCAATCGCCATGGTCTGCTCCACCGCGACTCCTGCAGCAGGTTTACAGATGGCCCCTCCGAAAAGCGGCAGAGATGATCGGTACATGGGAAGGTCTTCTGGTCTGGTTTGGTTTGGTCAATAGAAGGTTTTCATGAAACGGTTGGCGTGTTTATGACATGGCCTAAGCCTCGGATTGTAGCATGCTAGCAGTTTTGAGCACACGCGAATGATGGTGAGCCAAGTGGCTAGAGTTTGTGGGGCTCAAGTACTGCCCACAGACATGCGACATGATTTCAGATCCATCAAGTCATCAAGTCACGTGGAACTCCAATCTCTCAATCGAAGAAAGAGAAGAGTCGAATTTCGAAGAAGATTGAAGAAGGATCAAACGGGTCGCTTTTGTGTTGGAATGCACCATGATTGAAGAGACCGTGGCCCTTGGTCTCCCTTGGTCAACCTTGGTCTTCGCTGGTTCCGTTCGATGTGAAAATTTGCTGCTCGGCGTCCCTTTCACGAACGACTCTCTCCCTCGCCTGGCTGCGAGAGCTCCTTGTCTGCAAGTGCAGTGATGTAGATGCTATTGAGGATGATCACCACCAAAGAGAACATGTTGAAGTAAATGCTTTGTCTCAGCTGAACGGACCCTCTTTGGATCACCCAAGGGATCAGGGATCCATCTGGTGCGCTATTATTGACAAAGGGTTTCTGGTCAATCTTTCAGGATCCACACTTCAACATGATGTAATTTGCACATCAGAAAGACTTCAGGATGCTAATCTCCGCTGCAGTTTCCTCATCTATGAAGTTACAAAGTCATGGTTTCTAGGAATTCATAGGCGCGACTAGGTTGGAGGCCATCGCTACTTGGTTGGAGACAATTCCTCTTAGGATGGAGGCCATCGCTAGTAGGTTGGAGGCCATTGCTAGTTGGAGGCCATCGTTATTAGGTTGGAGTCCATTCCTATTAGGTTGGAGGCCAACCTTATTAGGTTGGAGAATCGCTAGTAGTAAGTTGGAGGACATCGCTACTATAGGGTGGAGGCCATCGTTATTAGGTTGGAATCCATTCCTATTAGGTTGGAGGCCATCGCTAGTAGGTTGGAAGTCATCGCTTGGAGGCCATCGCTATTAGACTGGAGGCCGTTCCTATTAGGTTGGAGGGCATAGGTTGGAGGCCATCGCCGATCGCTAGTAGGTTGAAGGCCATCGCTAATAGGTTAGAGGCCATCGCTAGTAGGTTGGAGGCCATCACTAACTAGTAGGTTGGAGGCCATCTCTACTAGTGTGGAGGCCATCGTTCCTGGCATCGCTATTAGGTTGGAGGCCATCGCCCAAACTCACCCGTCCCTGTCGGCCAAGGCACACCACGTTGGCCAAGCGCCCCCGGCGGACCGGCTCGCGGATCGCCTGGAGCGACTCCTTGGGGATTTCGCAGGTCAACAAATTAATATTTCATACCTCAATTGGTACCTCATGCTGGCTGGTTTGGTACCCTCTCTTGATCTGGTGCGTTCTCTTTTGTGGGGCTGCCAAATGTCTCCGAATCCCACGCCAAATCGAGTTGGCTCCGCCAAGGGCGGATGATTTGGTACCGACTCAGGTCACTTGGGATTGGAACGGTGGCCAGGGAATTGGATGCGCGTCCTAAGAGTTTCGGATGTTTCGGTGAGCACATGGGAGGGGTCACACACATTCGCCAGGGTATCTGAATTCATCATAAAATTGTGTATGTGTGTCATTTGGCTAGTGCAGGATCAACATGAATCAGTCATATTATATGTATGTTCAGTACGTTATTATGGAGAACCCGCGAAGACCACACCTTTATAGTGACCATGGCCATGGATGGCCATGGTATGTAGATCAGGGATGTTTCACCAGGTTTGCCCAGTTCCGTCCCCCAATCACCCCGAGCTTCAACGGCACTCATCGCCCGAGCAAGTCGGTTCAGGCTCCATTGCCTGGAGAAAAAGGACCAAAGGCAACCCTGAGAAACGCTTCAAATTCTCGAGTCAAAAACATGAGGAAAAAATTGGGGATGAAGCATTTGGAGATGCATCCGCAATAGCGTTTGTTTCATAATTCAGTTCAGGGTTTCTATAACATGTCAAACATATCCAGCTACTTTAGAATCGGAATGTCTGTCACAAACTACGAGTGATCCGGTCACAAAAGTTTCATCCAGCAACCCACCGAGTCAGGAGGTGCTCAAAGATCGCAGTGAGATCTCTACCTTGACCATGAAGATATGGGTGGGTCGACACTGAGCTGTATGGCCTCTTTCAGTCTTTAGCTCCAACCAATGCCGAGTTGCGCCATTCCCTTCTGCATACGTTCAGAGTGTTGCTTCATCCTTAAGCTCTGTGAAGCCTGCACACACAGTCACTCTTGGGCACATCAGATCTGCCTTTCAGAACAAATCTTCCTCCAATTCTGATGAATCGACTCTGAAATGTCTGTTCAGGTGTGTTTTAGGGAGGGTGCCAACGGTGCCCGCACAGCAAAGTGAGCTGCAAAACGCCAGTTATGCACTCGCCTTCAAGGTCCGCTGTTCCCCGAGCCCCAACCAGTCCATGCTGAGATCAGACTCATCGGTGAACTCGCTTCCAACCTCCGGTGAAGCACCGGTTGTGCCAAGGGGATCAACAACCTAAGGGGTTGTTGAAGCGGTACATGTGGTCTGTATAGTAGCATGTAAGCGCTACTCGTTGTATAGCCGGTATAACGGTTCAACCATAGCTCGCTCTAAGAAACATATTTGACCAATGACACTGGTGTCAAGCTTAACAGTCTAGGAAGGCGTCTCCGGAGGCGTCATTTTTGCTTGGAACTCGCGACCATTCACAAAGGTTCCTCACCCTAGATGTCAATGCCTTAGCTCGTCTTCTCAACGACTCCCAAACCCGGCTAAAGCCAAAGATAAAAAAAGACCGCCACCCATCCAAGTGCAACATGGACTTCTTGCATTCAAATGTGTCCCTCCGCCATCAGCGGTTGACTGGGAGATGTAAGTCGCTTTGGGCATCGCTATTAGTAGCTCATTTGCTACTAGACTAGAAGCGTTCTTGTTACTAGTAGTAAGGCCAGCAGCTACTAGTAGGAGCAGCGATGCCCTTTGCTCCGTTCGTAGCTTGTCGGTTGGTCAAGCCTTGCGAGTCCCAACCGGTCCCAACTGGCGCCTGAAAGCCCGACCTTCGAGCAGAATGGCCACACGACTCCGTTTGGAGCCGGACAAGCGATACAATATACCTTTTGTCCTTATTCCCTACATCAGAATGGTTCAAGTTGTCTAAGAACGTTCCTTGAAACTTGGAGTTTTTTGTTCCTCTGACTTGGCAACGCCGGCCAGTCCATTGGGATACGGTAGGTGCATGTTGGGGATCTTCTGGGTATCATGCCTTGGGCAAACCGCAGTTATATACTTGAGAGTCGCAGCTGAGATGGTCATCTGCGTAGTGTCAATGTGGAAACTAGAAAAGTGGTTTGGATCAATCCCACGTGGATGCACGGGATCCTTTGGAACTGCAGGATTCTTCTAGGCGGTTTTAATGAGAACAAGTCGAAGTATATTTGGGGGCCCGGTGTTGGATGTGTGATGACCCAACATACCAATGTTTTTACGGGCAGGGCTTTGCAGTTATAGTGACTTGCAAGTCCAAAGTTTTGTGCAATGTCCAAGTCTGGTTTTTGAACATCGAAAACCTCGAACTGGGATTGCAGGGTAGACCAAGTACCCTAGTGTTTTTCATGTTTTGAAGTGTGGAGTGTGGAGGGCAACGAATGACATGACCTGCCACCTTCGCCACCCCAAGTGACTCAACAAGAAACTAAACCCATATGTTCAATCTGGTTATCATGACCCTCAAGTCCTTGGCAGAATATGCCTTCTCCAATTGTTTGCAAAGAAAAAGTGCGGAAATCGTCCCGTTTTCAGACTTCTCCTGTCACCAGGCTCTGTCCAAGGCGCACGGGCAAGGATGTGACCGGCGAGTTGACGGGCAACAAACCATCCGCGTCGGGGTTGTAGGTGATCATCAGCTCCTGCCGGACGATCCAGAACAACAGGGATGAAAGAACGAACACCTCGTGGAACTAAACGACGAGGTGGCCCGAAAGCACTGTAGGAGTAAGATTGGCATAGCGGACCAAACATGATAAAACACTGCAAAACATTAATCCTAGATCTCTACGGACACGTTATTTTCATGTTTCTTGCAATCACTCACTCAATGTTGTCTTAACACGCGGTGATGACGATGATGATGGTGTTAATGATGATAACGCTGATGATGATCATGATGATGAATCATGAGGGGCGACCACGACGATGACTTGAATGTGTTGATTGTGAAGGTTATGTGTCGTCTTTTTGGAAGTGGCCTGCCCCGTAGAACACGACTTTGCAGCTCCACCGCAGAGACAAAGCGAAAACGAAGAGTTCCATTGAGAAAGTCAAGCACCTAACCCCGGAACGAAAACACATGGTGGTTGATCATTATTCTTTCATCTTGGGATGGCCATTCTTCGCAGCAAAACATATCTTTTACGGATCTTTCGCGGCCTCATCGCGAAGCATGGTCCTACAACCATGTCCAGCTAACATGAGACGGAGCTATTCATGTTTGTATCACGAAATAGGGACTGGCATCTTGCAGCATGACCCCCAGCAGAAGGTTGAGAGTTTCCACAGCTACTTGCAGCATCTGCGCGATATCTATGCAGCAAACAGTATCCTAAGTCCTGGCGGAGGCTTAGAATATATACCAGGCACAACTCAACCCAATCCTCGCAGGGTGACGCAGCTTGGGGAATGTTGGAGGGCCTCAAGCTGGGAGCCAGGACTTTAACGGCACATTCGCGAAGCTTTCACGGATCTTTCCCGAAATTTCACTGGTGAAGGCGTAACATGCGCAAACATCTGCGCAGCCCGTCAGAGCAGCTGCAGCTCGTTGCCGCCTCACTGTCAGGGCTATGCCTGCTCAGGTTGCTAGTCTGTGACAGTGGAGGCAGGAATCGGAAAATTGGGCAAGGGAACGTTGAGGCTTCAGTTCGCTAGTCTGTGACAAAATCATGGGGACATGCACACGGGGACACTTCCGCCCACCGGTCTGTTGGAGCAATGAGTCACCGTGCTTTCAACACGCATGATTCGCGACTCTCAATGGCACGGAGCCACGCAAACACACTTCCCACTGAGCCCACACAAATCCATCTCGTAGTTTCGAAACACTGCGCCGCACACTAAACAGTGCAACGCCAAGCCTTTGGAACAACCGTAGGGAGCCACGTGGCACGGCAACACAAACTTTCGCCACACTGGACACAACGGGCTAAGCACAATGTAACACCAAGCCTCGTCAACACCACAAGTATTTCCCGCTCACCAGCGGCAGATCGGGCTTATACGCACATGACTTTGGCTTGGCAATGGCATAGAGCACGTAAACACTCTTTCCACCGAGCCAAAATTGTCGAAGTTGTAGTTGTGTAGGTTAGTTTTGCTGGTGCCTTCACATGTACCTTAACACCCACATCTCACACCTGCACCTCAACACCCCACATGTTTAGTGTGTTCTAGCAGTTGCATCACCTGCATCACCTGCATCTCTGCACGACGACGCCGACGCCGACGCCGACGCCGACGCCGACGCCGACGACGACGACGACGACGATGCCAGTTGAAGTTGGCAGCCATTCTTTACGGAGAACCCTTCGCAGGTGCTCCGGGAAACACCATGAGTAACGTTCTTAATCATTCTGTAGACAAGTGAATCTAGTTTGTACCCCTCCAAATTGATCCAAATTGAGGTTGCACTGTTGCATCACGAGTGGTCTGTCAGATTCTATGTTTGCTCTTGGATTGGTATGGAAAAACCTTCCCAAACTGTGGTGCCTTCCCCGTACAGTGATCCAACAGGGGCTGGTCCATTCACTCCACACATCTGACTAAACAAGCAAAAGCACTATTGAGTCAAAGAATTCATGAATTGGGAGTCAGCACATCGAGACACACCCATTCAATGTCCAGATTGTCGTGCCTTCCACTCCCTCAACACCGCCAGCCTGAGTACTTTGACCCCTCTCGTTGGGGACCTGCACATGTCAAGAGAGAATGTGATGTGTCCCTCTCTTGGGTGAAGGAATCTGGAGAATGACCAGGCGAAACCTCTGGGCCATGCAAATCACTGACTTCGGCATACGATAAAAGCAGCTACTGAAACTCACTTCATGGGACAATCACCCCAGTACTGAACTACTGAAGCCTCATGGGAGTCCTCTGGACTTCGGACCGATCCAATGCGGCGAACCGGTTTGCAGAACCTGCTGCCTCTCATCCTCGCATCGGTCAGCATTAGTCGTGATAGGAAGACAGATGTAGGCCATTGCCCAACCCCCGACAGCTGGAACATGCGAGCTCTGAACATTCTCTTCACCTCTTGCACTCGACTCGCGTTCCAATCTCCCCCGTTTCCATCATGTTTAAAGAACCTGTGCAACAACCTGGTTTTGGGATTTAATTTGTATGATAATTACATACATCTGAACATCGATGATCCATTGGTGAAGGACGACTTGCTGTTTGATTCCCTACTCCTTAAGTTCTTGGCCACTTCGCAGCCATCGAGGGCGCCTCTCCATGGTTTTCGTCGTCGTCTGCCCAGACTTCAGACTCCCTGTCCCTGACAGTGACTTCCTTGGGCCGATTGGGTCACGTCATTACGCTGTTCTACGTCTTCTCAGCCCTGAAAATGTTCGAATCAAACAGAATGACCCAGGCCCAGTATGATCGTATTGATCGTATCACCCCAATGAACTGAACAAGTAGTCAACCACAATGAACCTCAACACTTGTGCCTGGATATTCGAAACGGCGCAAATAATTGCCGTTCAAGAACAAATGCCGTTACGGCGTCTTTTTCCAAAGATGGCGCTTTTTGTTGCGATCAGGCGGAAACCGGCAGAAACCGAAAAGAACCGCGTCCAAACGGTGCCCCGTCCATGGATGGTTGCAACCCCAAAAACGGCATTGTTTTTGATTACTATAGATATTACTAGCGTCTTTTCGCTGAAAAATGTCTGCAAAAATTGGTGCCGAGTAGGTAGGAGGTCTTTTGTCGGAAGACTCAACCAGCATTCCATCGGCTTTTCCAGGCGTAACTTTCCGTTCGTCGTGCTTTTCGTTGGTCGGGGGACAAACCTCTGCAACTGGATGATCCGTTTCGAACTGGTGCTGCCAGCGCCGACCAAACGCGTTTGCGCCCAGTGCGCCCAGTCCCTAAGGTCTAACCAAGACCTTAGTTCGTGGACGAAACGAAGCTAGACAATCCCTGGAGTTCGCCGTAATTCACCATCAACCCGCTAACCAAGCCACCACAGGGGTCATCAAAGACTTCAGAGAGGCTTGCATCTGTTGGCACAACGACTCCTGACACAACTGCATTGGTCGAACGTGTGGTTGTGGGTCACTTCAATTGGTCTCTGAAAAATATCGGGAGAGTCTTTCTTGGATCTGATTCTAGATTCTAGTATATACACACACCCCGACCTTGCAGGGATACGGTCGGTGCATGCTTGTTGGCTGATCTCATTTGCAGAAGTCCTATCTCGACAACACATTAAAACGCTACGGTTTCGTATGTATGATGCATAACCTTGAATGGTTTCCATGCAGGGGTTCCAGGTGTACCTACCTGCAAGCAGCTCCCCAATTTCCCCCAGTCTGGTACTTTCTCCCTGTCTTTCCATGTCGGGCAGTGTTCATGGAGACAGAGGGGGCCCCTTTGGACTCAAGTTCAGCGGCACCGGAGACACGAATTCATTCTCTCGCTTTGTCAAAAGTGCCTCGTCGATCTGTTTCCTTTTGCGAAGCCGGAAAGACGGCTTCGCAAAGTAGAATGGATTCCGAGGATTCTCAGAAAAGTCCTGTGAGTGGGTCCAACATGGTCCAACATGTTGGATCCAGCAATACAGGTAGATGCCAAACTAATGTCACTACAACTTCCAGTCAACCAGCTGTCCTGCATGTTCGCAAGCTCTTTGCTCCGCTGGCTCTCTTCCAGGAAGGTGTCCATTTGCTGGACCTCAAGAACCACCGGAGGAGCAAGATGCCGCTTGGCTCGTCCGCAGTGCCCAAAAGTACGGAATGATTGTTGCTTTGGAGGCGCATCAAGAGCCAAACTGGATCTTCTAAAGGTGGTGCTCGATACCCCCAAAAAGTACCAGGAAAAGAAACAGCCACAGCAAGCTGTTCCCCAATTCCTCCGATCCCTGTGCTCCAAAGGTGCCAGATCCTGCAGCAACTGATCCGGACTGAGTCCAGACCATTTGCGCCTCGGTGAGCGGGTCGAACAAAGGTCGACTCGCAAGAAAGCATTACCCATACATCTGATCTGAATACATGTCAAGGGACTCCCGGTTTCTACCTCGTGCGCCTTGTGCAAAGCTCATGAGGTGGAGGACGAATGATGCTGTTAGGCAATCAACTTCAACAGGGGGAGTGCTGGACAATCCCTCCAGAGCGTTGACATACTCCGTGGAAGATTTGAAAAATGTGAGAATGTCTGTTGACCCTGTCTGTTTCCTTTGGTCACCCCATGTGACGTATACAAATGGTTCCGGTGTTTCACGATCTGGTACACTCAGTCATTCGGGTCCATTCTGTCATTTGGTGAGGCCGTTGATTGGGAAACCGTTGGACTGGGACTCAAAGGGCATTCCTCCGAAACACGTAAGTCATCGTAAGTCCATGCTGGTCCATGCTGTCCAGAAATGAACAGGCCAGGTGTCGGCTGGCCATTTGTATGGTTCATGCAATCGAACATGGCTGGGCGCACTTTGGCGCGTGGTGGGCGCTTCAGCACGGTTCCTTTAGGCGATGCACTGACGTCAAGGACTCGGCTGGGCCTCTACCAGCACAGTGGCTGAAAGAACACTCAAACAAGCCCGTTCTCGGGTTCTAGGATCGCAATGGCCATGCAAACAATCCAATCTCAAAAATAATTCTGTTTCTGAACCCTTAACACTTGAAATCCCATGACCCCGTGACCCCTTATAACAATCGTCTTCACAGCTTCAATGCTACACCTGCTGCGCTGCTGAGCCGACAGCTAGTGCGGTTGTACCACCCAGTCCAACTATATAGTGCATGTTGAGTGGCCACATTACTTACAATATATCTATTTATCATCCATCCAACCATGGAATGGATTCTGTTTCATTGCTTTCCATTTAGAATAATAAATCAGCCGGTTTGTGGACATTCATTTTTGTGAACCTCTGAGGTATTTGTTTGTACAGGGCGCCAACCGGTGTCGCCACGTCTGAGCAAGCCGGACAATAGTGTCCAATAGGGTTCAAGAACTTAAGGTTCCCCAAAAATCTAGGAAGCAAATCCTTAGTGCGAGCGCATCTTCAAGGAAGCTCCCCGGGCCTGAGGGCGGGGAAGGCTTCCTTGAAGAAGCGTCAGCTATCCTGCGTCCATACTAGTAGCCTAAGTACCTAGTAGCTTGCCCCCCTTGCTTAATTAAGTAGGCGCCTACTTATTTAAGTAGTAGCGGGCAAAAACAAACAAGAAAAACAGCCAATTTGTTTAGAAGTTAAGAGGCAAACTCAACTTCCCAAGCACGAAAAAAAAATAGAAACACCTACCCGTGCATTGTTGAATGGCCTTCAGAGTTTTCCAGGAACAATAGTGGATCAGGACATTTCAGGACGACCCCTGTGATCAATCTTTACTTGGTGGGCTCACCAATTCAACAATGCGAAGTGGGCCACGAGTCTTTTGAGGGGTGTGCAAGGGATGATGTCGGTGTAAGTATAGACCTCATGTCATGGTTTTTCCTGAAATGGTGCAGCTGAATCGTTTGCTTGCCTATCTAAACCTTGCATTCAATGCCTGCCATCAGTGGCAACATTCGGAGACAGCCCTAACAATCGATAGGTGCATCACCTGGGCACTGAGCCAGACAATCAAAGGAACACATCACAGTATGAGTCTCCTGGTTGTTGCGTGTTCATCGCCGAGGTGACACGACGTCTGGCGTTTTTCTCGGATCTCCCAGCTGAAGAAAAAATCAACTCTTTGAGGCTCAATACTCTTAGGCCGGCCCTTTCTCGGATCTCCCGACGGGGATTCGGATCTCCCAAAGGTGTCCAACTTCCCTGCGCTGTGGCTCCTTTGGTCCATGCGGTCATCGCTTTTCGACGCCACTCAGCGATCCGCCTGAGCTTTCGAACCGATCGATCACGGTGCCTCGACATTGACTGGGGCCTGCGGCGCTTGGGAATGATGGTTCCTCATTCATACAAAAAAGCCAGAGGTTCACATCACAAAAAGCGGATTGTTCAGTGGAAAAAAGAGACGAATGAGTGATGGTCCATCCCAATTATATGTTTTAAAGTTTAAAGGAACACAGGACTGGTTGTGGAAACATTGGGTCAGAGCTCATAGAGAAGGGCTGGCAGGTAGATCATTGATCATTTGATTCGGCCCTGAGTTGTGCAAAGTCAAACTGTGCAGTATCGATGAGCTTTATGAAGTGCTTTGATCGTACGACTATCCCAAGACCTGGCAAAACAGGACCTCCAACCCAAGAGCGATGGCCTCCAACCTAATAGCGATGGCCTCCAACCAACTGGCGATGGACTCCAACCTAATAGCAATGGCCTCCAACCTCAGAGCGATGGCCTCCAACCTAAGAGGGACGGCCTCCAACTTAAGAGCGACGGCCTCCAACCTAAGAGCGATGGCCTCCAACCGAGCGACGGCCTCCAACCTAAGAGCGATGGCCTCCAACCTAAGAGCGACGGCCTCCAACCTAAGAGCGACGGCCTCCAACCTAAGAGCGATGGCCTCCAACCTACGAGCGATGGCCTCCAACCTAAGAGCGATGGCCTCCAACCTAAGAGCGGTGGCCTCCAACCTAAGAGCGACGGCCTCCAACCTAAGAGCGACGGCCTCCAACCTAAGAGCGATGGCCTCCAACCGAGCGACGGCCTCCAACCTAAGAGCGATGGCCTCCAACCTAAGAGCGATGGCCTCCAACCTAAGAGCGATGGCCTCCAACCTAAGAACAACGGCCTCCAACCTAAGAGCGACGGCCTCCAACCTAGGAGCGACGGCCTCCAACCTAAGAGCGGTGGCCTCCAACCTAAGAGCGATGGCCTCCAACCTAAGAGCGATGGCCTCCAACCTAAGAGCGATGGCCTCCAACCTAAGAGCGATGGCCTCCAACCTAAGAGCGA